AGAATGTCCTTCGTTATATCGAGGACTTCGTTAAATAGAGGTTCGTTAAATCGAGGTGCCACTGTAAAGATAATTAGGAATTGAGATACATGCAACGCCTCGATGGAACCCTCTAAATTGACCATAGATGTTAAATGAATGAGTAAGCGGCTTCTACATTGTGAAGGATCTTCCAAATGCATAAAATCAAACTTCCGAGGACCAGTGACTTTAAAATTCTCCGTGGTGGGGGAGGGGGGCGGCATGGCCTCAAATAAACTTTGCGCTTTCAGCGTTAGTGTGCGTGTTTTTTTATTTTTTTTATTTGAAGCACCAAGTAATACGCGAAGATGGCAGCAATTATTCTTTTGCTAAGGTTTATAAGAATTTGCGAGGCTTACCGTTACAAATAGATTTTCACTTGTGGGTCCAAATATTTGAATAGTCTCCCCGATGTTATTTGATAGTCTTTTGTACTGTATATCCAAGTCGCCCGCTTTGAAGATACCAGACCAGTTGACGATGCGATTACCATTGACAATATACGCACCGTTTTGTCTCCTTAGAGCTAAAATTTATTAAAAGATATGATGTATTTACATTGGGTAAAAATGTACATTGTTATAACATAAAATAAAAGTCACACGATCAGTCGGTCGGTCAGTCGGTCAGTCAGTCGGTCAGCCGGTCAGCCGTTCGGTCAGCCGGTCGGTCGGTCAGTCAGTCAAGTCAGTCAGGCCAGTCAGACCAGCTAGTCAAGTCAGTCAGTCTGTTGGTTAGTCAGTCAATTAGTCAGTCAGTTTTTTAGCTCGTCATATTCATTTGGTTAGTTAGTCATCATCTCTGTTAACTTAAAGACAGAGTTAATGCTTCAGCGGTGGCTATATAACCAAGACTTCTCAGAAAACAAAAATATAACTTTGCTTCTATTTACCTAAATAGTTCCAAGTCTTGTCTGTCAGAAAGACACTCGTCGACCCTTTTGGTATAACCATCAGTTCTGCATATCCTGTTTAGATTAAATGCGAAAAGTTGTGAACTTTAATTTATGAAATATAATATAAATTTAAAAAATAATAATAATAATGAAAAAAAAACAGTTAACACATTAGTACACTTTATTATTACCAGTAAGCCGTTCAAACTGAGTCGGTGACCGTTCAACTCTTCCTCTGATTGGTTGACATGTAGTCGAGTTCCCGCCACAGACACGACACTTGTCCATGTGTACTCCTGACTCCAGTTTGTCGTCGCATCCGACAGGCTAAACCGGGTGAAAAGAGTAATAAATTATACGACGTGAAAAGAGAGGGCCTAATATAATATAATATAATCGTGAAAATATTCAAAGCTTGAAGTTCAATCATACCATGCTTGATACCATGCTTGATACTCAAAGAAAACAATGTCTTTTTTGCATCACATCTTAAAAAACACTTAAAATACGCCATATCCCACGCTTCCTCAGTATTAACGTTTTCCATTCACAATCTGCTGCCTATTTTAAGACTACATAAAAAAAAAAAAAAAAAAAAA